CGTGTGTACCTATGCAACAATCTTGCATGTTCTTCACATGTACCCCAAAACCTAAAATGCAATAAAATAAATAAATGGGAAAAAAAAAAGAAAAAAAAAAGTTGACACTTTACTGCTTTGACCTAAAGTCAAATCTTTGAAGGCATTAACTTTCTTTTGAGATGGAATCTTGCTCTGTTGCCCACACTGGAGTGCAGTGGTGTGATCTCGGCTTACTGGAGCCTCTGCCTGCCAGGTTCAAGCAATTCTCCTGCCTCAGCCTCCTGAGTAGCTGGGACTACAGGTATGTGCCACCATGCCTGGCTAATTTTTTGTATTTTCTGTAGAGACAGGGTTTTACCATGCTGCCCAGGCTGGTCTCGAACACCTAATCTCGTGATCCACCTGCCTCAGCCTCCCAAAGAGCTGGGATTACAGACGTGAGCCACCACACCTGGCCGGCATTGCCATTTTAATCAATCCACACTAAAGCATGCTGGGTGGCTTAGACAGCCATCCACACTATGAATGATAGTCTTAAACTATGAAACTTGTCCAAAAGGACTTTGACCCTCTGAACTCCATGACTGTGTGCAAGGTCACAGAAAGACCTGGAAGAGGCTTGTTATTGTCATATCAGAGAATCCGACAAGCTTAAAAAATACAAACATTTCCCCCATGATTGAAATCTCTACTTACCAACTTCAGGGACACAGTCCTGAGGGTTACAAGATTCTCTCTCTTCTGGTTTCAACTGAGGGTCACAGAGGTTACTCAGAGCCATGTCATCTGACAGACACCGCACTTCCCGGACCCGAAAGCCACCCTGGCAGCTCTTGGAACACTGCGTGGGAACAAGGGGAAAAAGTCAGATTTTTGGGCAGACCAATAGCTCAGCACACTGGAGAAGAAAGACACTGGAAAATCTCAAACATTTCCAAAAGGAGATAGAATACGAAAATTCTATCATGTACCTATCAACCAGCTTCCACAATTAGCAACTCATGCCAGGTGTGTCCCATCCATATTCCCAGCCCTCCTGCTCCTCCCACTACGTTGAAGCAAATCTAGACATCTGATCACTTCTTCCATATAATTTAGGGTGTAGTTATAAAAGACAAGAATTCTGTCTTTTAGTGTTTACATGTAAGTTCTTTACATATAAATTCTACCTAGAAATTATAATAATTTCTTATTCTCTTCAATAAAGACTCAGTATTCCGACTTATCTTATGACTCCTATAGATTTTTTTTTTTTTTTTTTCTGAGATGGAGTCTTGCTCTGTTGCCTAGGCTGGAGTGCAGTGGCGTGACCTCAGCTCACTGCAGCCTCTGCCTCCCAGGTTCAAGCGATCCTCCTGCCTCAGTCTCCCCAGTAGTTGGGATTACAAGACATTCATCACCACACCTGTCTAATTGTTGTATTTTTGGTAGAGACAGGGTTTCGCCATGTTGCCCAGGCTGGTCTTGAGCGCCTGACTTCAGGTGATCTGCCCACCATGGTCTCCCAAAGTGCTGGGATTATAGGCGTAAACCACTAGGCCTGGCCAAGATTTTTTAATACAGGTTATTTTTTCCTTTAAAAATCGTATCTGCATCAGTTCTGCACATTGCAATTGGTCAAAATGTCTTTCACGAATCTTTCAATCCATAGGTTTCCCTTCCATTGTCTTTTTCCTCCTTGCACTTAAAAATATTTTGGTTGTGGTCGGGGGTGGAACTGAGTCATTTGTTCTATGGTTTCCCATAGTCTGGATTTTGCTGACAGTGCTCCTGTGGTGTAGTTTGTGTTCTTCTATTCTCTCTATTTTCTGAACACTGGAAGTTGGACCTAGAAGAGGCCTTAACAGGTGCAGGGGTTTTTATTGGTTGGTTTTTTTTGAGACCACTTCCCAGGTGGCTGTCTCTCTTTTGGGGATGTTAGTGGCCACTGATAGGCAATGCTCAGATCCATTAGTTTATTGGGGGCTTGGAATTCTAATTCTATCATTTTCCTTCTATTAGCTGGAAATCTTTCATAAAGTATCCTTCCCCCAGCACCTTTCCTCTTTGGTTACCCAGTGGCATGGTTTGTTTAAGAAAGGGCATAAACAATTGAATCTTTCCCTTCAGGTGCCAGATTTCATAATAATAAGTCGGTTCCCTAACATCCTATAATGATGACCTATTAGTTTTTTAAAGTATTATAAACTTATTGTAAATGGATGTATTTAAACACATGTAATGTGTTTCATCAATCTACTGCATTATTATTCTTACTGATGTTCAGTGGCTCACAGGAGCCTCTACAAATTGGCTCTGGGATGCTTTGGACATGAGCTCCGTTGTTTAAGAACTTCCTTGCTGCCTGCCAGGAAAAGATATTCCAGCCTAACTAACATATATGCTGCCCCAGATCTGGAAGTAGCCACCCATTCTGAATCCCTGGATTGGTCACTGATTCTAGACTCTATCAGTGGGTGAAATTAGGAAAGATTTTTAGAAAGATCACTTATAAGTTCATACTGACACTGCCAATTCGAATTCAGGACAACAGGCTTTTTATTGAGGTCTTAAGCTAAATGATATCTATCATGTATCTGTATCTCTTTTCTCTTAAGCAGAGAATCCTAATTCTCAAGGATACTGGGACTAACAGAATTATACTATCATCTAATTACTCATTTGCCTTCTCACACATGATATGCCCAATCATCGTATCCAATACAACACTCTCACCAAAAATAGGATTATTTCAAACAGCGTGAACGTTTTTCTGCGGTAATTTTTCCTTAGCGATAGACTGTCAAATTACTATGTATTAAAGTCACTTGCTGGTGCCACCAACTGGAAACACGTTTAGATTAATTTGTTTCACTGTATTTTCGGTTTTGGGGGGATTGCTTTCTTTAAATTTAATTTTCTTTTATAATTATCTAAAATATTTACTTAGTTCCAAACTCAAATTTGCAAAACAAGGTGCATTCAAAGAAGTCTAGCTTCCATTAGTCCTTTGCTGTTATAGTGACCACTGACTTCATATTTGTTTCAATTTTTTTTCTAAATTTGCATCTAAAATTTTCCCTTTTTGTGGCACACATATCTATTAGTTTTGACAAATTCATACAGTTGTGTAACTCCCACTGTAAACAAGGCATGAAATAGTTTCACTGTGCACAAACACGATTCCCCCGTGCTGCCCCTCTGCGGTCAGATTACACAGATGTGCTCACGCATCCTCTGGCACGCACTGATCTAGCCTCTGTCTCTGTAGCTTCTCCTTTTACAGAATATTATATAGATGGACTCATATAACATGTAGTTTTCAGAACCTGGCTTTTTTTTTTTTACTTAGCAAAATGCACCGGAAGTTCATCTGTTTTTTCGTTGCTGAGTTTTTTGTTCCACCATGTGGATGCACCACGGTTTGTCTGTCCACCTGCTGACGGACATGTGGGTTGATTCCAGCAGGTGTTTTCGGAGTTTACCTCCTTTGACTTGGCCTGGTGAGCATGGCCGTTTGTAGACTCTCCAGACCAGATGACAAAAGAAAACTGCGATCTGTTCTTATATCCTCAAGCCTTGGCCAACATTAAAATAATGAAATTCCACTTCCCAGAAGTTGACAGGACACCGTTTGACCCACTTCCTTGGTCCCCATCTGCCTCTGAGATGTGGTTTGCTACACAGCCAGATGGCTGTTACCACTGGAGCAGACAGATACTTTTTGGAAATAGAACTCTCAGCTTTTATTCATACATATTTTTTCTAAGCAAAATTCCCTTTCACTGCGAGAAAGGCTCTGGCCCCTACTCTGGGCTCACTACAGCCTCTGCTTGAAAATCGTCGGTGATGAGAAGCAGAATGACCCTTCCCCACTTCCCACCCTGACCCACAGAACTATGCCAATGGTCACCTGGAATGGTGCCCTCGGGAGGTTTTCTGGTCACCTGGAATGATGGTGATGAGGTTTTCCATTTTAGGAAATTTCTTGAAAATGAACTCTCCAACTTGAAAAAAATAAATCTTATCACCACATCCATCCTTTCCCCTTTCATTTCTTAATGACTTATTTCTGTATTTATCAATCTCTCCTTCTCTTTCTTCACTTACACACTACTTCCCTCCTTATAAAAAAGATTTGAAATGACTTGAGAAAGACTTAGAGGGCCACAGATTTTTTAAAAAAGTGAGAAAACTAGGACTAAAGGAAGATAAAGGTAGGAAAAAGAAAGAGAAGCTACGGGAATATTGGCGCATAAAATCCACTTTGCAGGATCTGGTGTACTCTCTCTTTGAGGTGAGCCATCATTTTTGGCTTTGAGCTTCCTAGTAGCCAGTTCAAAGAGAAAACAGAATCAGTCCCACAATCCATAATCCAGAATGTCTATAGGATTTTTAGAAAGTGTATACACACACACACACACACACACACACACACACAGACATTGACACAGACAGAGACAGACAGACAGACAGACAAAGTACTGAGGTCTGACAGAAATTCCTCTGGTGAGTTTTATAAAGAGGTCACTGCAGATGTAGTAATTAAAAAAATTTTTTTAGAGATGGGGTCTTGCTAGTTGCCCAGGCTGGTCTCAAACTCCTAGCCTCAAGTGATCTTCCCTACTTGGCCTCCCAAAATGTTGGGATTATAGGCGTGAACCACCACGCCTGACATCAGATGTAGTACTTTTAACAGCACCCTTGTATCCTCGATCCTCTCTGGCAGCATTGCTCAAAATGCAGTCCAAAGGCAACTGCATCCAAGACACCTCAGGAACTTGCTAAAAATGCAAATCCTCGGCCACGGCTGGCCCAGAGTTGGTCTTGTCAAACAAGATCCCCAGATGATTCCCTGGCACACTGAAGTGTGAGAGTCCCTGTTTTAAGGCTGCTGCAATTTAGAAACCAAGATCATCGAGGTCTCAGGCCTCCTTCACCTAGCAGGCTGAGTCACAAGGTACCCCAGCAGCCACCACCTAAGGTAGATTGCTGTAGGGAATCTCTTTTAGGGCTGAGCCCAGTGCCTGGCCCAGAGGGGTCTATGGGAGTTCAGCTGGGGAACGGTGGGCCAATGCAGCCTCCATCAAGAGCACCATGACTTACCATGCTCCATTCGGTGCTAAACCATTTGGCTCCACAAGGCTTGAGGTGGCAGGATTGCTGGCTGCGGGGTTTTTCCAGGAAAGAACATTCAGAGGGGTCCAACACTTCAAAGGTGTCTGCATTCTTTCTAACACAAATCACCTCCCTCTGTTGCGTCCCATGCCCACACTCAATGGAACACTGCAGAAAGAAGCAGAGAAAATTGAGTGTCACATGATGGACAGGGGGCGGCAACTGCTGTCCATCAAGGGATGCTTATGATGGGCACCATCAATTCTACCACCAATTCTGGGAGGAAGAACTGTGTGGGAACCTGGAAATGTTTCTGGAAGAGAAGTGGTATGTGGATTGCAATTCCCTATGAGTTCTATCTCCAAATGAAGACTAGATGCCCTGATGATCTAAGTGGAGGATGCTGGTCACTAAGATCTTGCTGTTTTCTGTGCTGAGAGGGAAGTAGTTTATCGGAAACTCTCCTGCAGGAACACACCAGCCAGGTCATTGGGTTGTTTCTGTCCCGTAGACTCTGACATCTCTCACAGGAGGTAAGACAATGAGCTGACATTCTCGTTTTTTTTTTTTTTTTTTTTTTGAGACGGAGTTTCGCTCTTGTTACCCAGGCTGGAGTGCAATGGCGCGATCTCGGCTCACCGCAGCCTCCGCCTCCTGGGTTCAGGCAGTTCTCCTGCCTCAGCCTCCTGAGTAGCTGGGATTACAGGCACACGCCACCATGCCCAGCTGAATTTTTGTATTTTTAGTAGAGACGGGGTTTCACCACGTTGACCAGGATGGTCTCGATCTCTTGACCTCGTGATCCACCCGCCTCGGCCTCCCAAAGTGCTGGGATTACAGGCTTGAGCCACCGCGCCCGGCCTGACATTCTCGTTTTATCTGTTAGTCTCTTAGGAGGTGGATACTGTGACTGAATGCTCTCCCAGCCTCTGCACATCTGTGAACACCTAAAGCTGAGAAGAAGACCCAAGACTTGGGGAAATGTACGCTGTGGTCTGCCCTCCCCTTCCAACAGGGCAGCCAGCGGGAACTGTGACTACAGAGCCCAATCTTCTTGTTTCCTTATATGGTGCTGAAATCTGTGCCATGGGGTGGTGACCCCACAAAGAAGCTAGGCAATTCCATATGCTGATGCATTTTGTTAGTTCATGGAAATAAAATGCATATAATGCATATGACTGTTTGGTTATAAATTATCCTATTTAGTTACCTATCACTTCGCTAAATGATTTTGTATTTTGTTTGGTCTACACAATCTTTTTTCTTTTTGAGATAAGGTCTCACTCTGTCACCCAGACTGGAGTGTAGTGGTGTGATCATGGCTCCCTGCAACCTCAACCTCCTGAGCTCAAGTGACCCTCCCACCTAAGCATCCTTGGGACCACAGGTGTGTACCACCTTGCCTGGTTAATTTTTTTTGAGACAGGATCTCACTCTGTCACCTAGGCTAAAGTGCAGTGGTGCAGTCTTGGCTCACTGTGACCTCCACCCCTCAGGCTCAAGTAATCCTCCTACCTCAGCCTCCAGAGTAGCAGGGAATATAGGCACATGTCACCATGCCCGGTCCATTTTTGTATTTTTTGTAGAGCTGGGTTTTGCCATGTCACCCAGGCTGGTCTTGAGCTCCTGAGCCCAAATGATCTGCCTGCCTCAGTCTCCCAAAATGCTGGGATGATAGGCAGAGCCACCACACCAGGCCTTGGCCTGCTAATTAAAAAAAAATTTTTTTAGAGATGGGGGCTGGGCACAGTGGCTCACTCCTATAATCCCAGCCCAGGTGGGATTACAGGAGTAATCCAAGGTGGGTGGATCACCTGGGGTCAGGAGTTTGAGACCAGCCTGGCCAACATGGTGAAACCCTCTCTCTACTAAAAATGCAGGAAGTTAGTTGGGCGTGGTGGCACGTGTCTATAATCCCAGCTACTTGGGAGGCTGAAGCAGGATAATCGCTGGAATCTGGGAGGTGGAGGTTGCAGTGAACCAAGATGGTGCCACTGCATTCCAGCCTGGGTGACAGGGCAAGACTCTGTCTCAAAAAAAAAAAAAAAAAAATTTGTTTTCAGAGACAGGATCTTACTCTGTTACCCAGGCTGGTCTTGAACTCCTGGCCTCAAGCAGTCTTCCTGCCTGGGCCTCTCAATGTTCTGGGATTACAGGCATGAGCCATTGTACCCAGCCTCTTAATACTTTCTGATTAAAAGTTGTAAAGCTGTGGTCTATGTACTTTTATAGACTTTAAAGAATCTACTACCTTTATAAAAAGCCTGTAACGATGTCTGCAGTTCACACTCTAAATATTAGCATTGCTATTCATAAGCAGCCACACAATCAAATAAAAACAGGGAGAAAGAAAAACACCTACCTACAGAAAAAAGCATTATAAAACCCCCAAGCCAACAAATGATGAATTAGCCACACAGGGCATGAATTGGCAGAGGCTATCACCAACAGAAGTTTCTACTTTGTCTATGCCTTTTTGCCATCTTTGTAACATTAAAAAACTACAATATTTCTTTTTTCTTTTTTTTTTTTTTTGAGACGAAGTCTCTCTCTGTTGCCCAGGCTAGCATGCAGTGGCAAGATTTCAGCTCACTGCAACCTCTGCCTCCCAGGTTTAAGTGATTCTCCTGCCTCAGCCTCCCAAGTACTTGGGACTACAGCGGCGAGCCCCCGTGCCTGGCTAATTTTTGTACTTTTAGTAGAGATGGGGTTTCGTCATATTGGACAGAGTGGTCTCGAACTCCTGACCTCAGGTGATCTGCCTGCCTTGGCCTCCCAAAGTGCTGGGATTACAGGTGTGAGCTTCCGCACCCGGCCAAAAAACTACAAAATTTCCTGGTCTGTTTCTCCTATTTTCCTTCATGTTAGTTTATGATTTGGAATGTATTCGTGTCTTGTCCTTTTCTTTCAAGTGCTGCAGCCAATGGAAGAATTGAAGGCAGGAGAAGAGCCACAGGCTGCAACAGGCAAAGGCTGGCCTCTCTGCAGAAAGAATGAGGAGGGGGTGGGGTGGGGGGCGGGGGCGAGCGGCAGGGGTGGAACGCTGGACTGAAGTCAGGAGACATGGAAATTAGTCTAGACAGCGTCAGTAAATAGCTCCGTGTCTTTGGCCAAGACACTGCACTTCCCCAGGTCGCTCTGATCTTATCTGAAAATCGAAAATAAGGGGTTTGGAAACATGATCTGAAAGATCCATCACTGCTATGAGATCCTACCTCTGTACTTAAATGTGTGGCGGAAAAGAAGACTGCAAACCTTGATCAGAACCTGAAGTTATCTTCTGCTATTTTTTGGCAAGTCCTTGATGAGATTGTGTTCTTAAGGGAGAATGAGCACGTCTCAGCCTTCTTTTATTGTAAATGCTCAGAAATAGCAGAATATGTGTGTTTGGAAAGTGAATAAATGTGTGTGTGTGTATGCATCTCTCAATCTCTCTCTCTCTGTCTCTGTGTATGGGTATTTCTCTCTCTCTCTGTGTGTATGTGTGCATGAGGCAGCATTTGAAAACAAGAAAGGGTACTCAGTCTTGGTGGTCCAGAAATTATGGGGAACCTGTGAACACTGAAAAACAGATGAGATCAAAGTGAAGAAGGAAACTAGAGTCCAAATACACACAGAGGAGGAGCTCTAGCAAAGCTCATATGCTTCAGGCTAGATTGGTGGTGGACGGACAATGAGTGATCAGCTGAGTTACTGGCCAAGAGCAGCTGGGCTGGCCTGACTATACCAGGAAGAGGAAGCAGTGAGTCATCTGCCAGAAGCATTTGTGTCAAAGTGCAAAATGAAGTCATTTTTAAGTATTCAAGGGCTCAGAAATCTTACCACTTACAAATCCTAATCAAAAGACTTTCTGGGTTATAGCCTTAAGCAAAATAAAAAGGAACCAGACAGACGACACAGAATGTAAAAGAAGGAGCTGGCAAAGACACCAATAAAAGCCGTTATTACTAATGAATACCAGGTGTCTTTTTGGAATGATCAAAATGTGTTGGAACTGGATAATGCTGATGGTTGTACAACTTTGTGAACTTACTAAAAACCAATGAATTGTGTATTTTTACAGGGTGAATTTTATGGTATGTAAACTATATTTCAATAACAAATAACCTTTGGGGGACAGGAGAAAGCTGTTTTAAAATGTAAATTCATATTTTCTATAAAATTAACATTAATCTGGAGCCTGATCCAGATAATACCAACATCTTTCTGGAAATATTGTAGATTGAGAGGGTGGAGGTAAATAAAAGGGGAACCCTTCTATTTTCTTTTAGGAGAGGATGTAGTTACTGATAACTTGACACTAATGAAAACATTAAAGTTTAAAATTCTGTGCTAAAAATTTGAGTGTTATCACAGAAGACATACCACTAGACGATGTATAACTTTCAAAATGTTAGAGGAAAAGAAATGGAATTTTAAAAACCTGACTAATACTAAATATGTAGAAAGGAAAGAGGAAAGACGCAAGAAAGCATGGCAATAGAAAACACAAAATACGAAAAATAAGATGGTAGGGAAAAGTCTAAACATATAATGATTACAATAAATATAAATGGTCAAAATTTAACTCTTAAAATACAGAGATTTATAGATTAGGTAAAAATAAAGTCAAAAATAGTCCTGCATATGAAAGACATACCTTAAAAATACATAGAAAGTTTGAAAATTAAGAAACGGATGAAGATATATCAGGTGAAAATCAATAATGGAGTAATTCAAACAGTAGATAAAATATAACCACAGATAAAAGCATACATGACAAAGTAATATTTAATAGGGATAAATGCTTTCAATGAGAAGTGATGGCAGTTATGCATGTTTCTGCACCTAAAGAATTCCTATAGTTGCATTTTGGTGGATCACTGATCCATGAAAAGATGAGAATACAAGTATCTATTGCAATAAATGCAATCAATAAACTACTCCAGACCCACAGGCCAACAAAATGGCTGCTCCAGAAGACTAGAGACTGTGACAGATCTCCCCAGAACTAAGACAATCTAAGGTTCTAGTAAACTCAGAATTGATAGAGAAGAATGGAAATAATTCTGGTCATAAATAATAGACTTGGCAGATGCTTATGAATAAGAGTTGGGCTACTATGCCTCCAGAGTAGAAAGAGACTTCCTAAGCTTGATATACTCTAGTTTTCAGGGATCTGGGAAGCAGCAGAAAAGGAATATATTCCTTTATTGGTGGAGTCAGAAAGACTCTAAAGCCAGAAACTCCTTGGTCTCTGCCTCTCCGTGGACTTAGGTCTCATCCTCTCAGGCTGGCTTTTTGCACAAGCCTCAGTAGGAGAAACATTTATTTTTATATTCTAAAGTCAGTTAATGTTTAAAACTTACCTTTCAAGAAATAAGCATGCTCTCACTTCAATTTCTTTTGGGATAATGTCAAATTCCTAGGGCAGGGAGTTGCCAGCAGGCCCTGACATCCTTATAAATCCGGAACCAAAACCTTGTCCACATTCAATTGTATCCTGACCCTTTTGGACAACAGAGCAACAAATCCTTTCTTCCTAATCTTGGCAGAAATAAAGGTTGTCTTTGCCATGGTTCATATCACTCTTAGTTCTTTGAGCTTAGTTCTAAAGTCAATAGGAGGCCACAAGCAAAAAAGGCCCTGAATCCTGCTCCATTCTCTTCTGAGAATGGTAGACACATGAATTCAATTGTATTACTTACATTCACGTGTGTGACTATAATGATCTGATGCTATGATTTCACACATCTATGGATATTTGGCATAACTGGTGTCCCATAAACAGTCACTACTAAATTACCTTTGGGGTTTAAGTCTTATGCATTTTGCTACTAGCAAGGAGATAGAAATAGCTGGCAGAAAAAATCAACATGGAGGGATGGAAACTAATATTTATTAAGTATTTCCCATATCCTAAGCAATGGGTAACTTTATGTATAGCATCTCATGAAAACCTCTTAACAACATTAGGAGGTTGGTATTATTACCTTCATATTCAGATGAGGAAGCAGGCTCAGAGGTTAAATCACTCACCTAAAGCCAGAAAACTAATGAGAAGTCAAGCTAGGATCAGTTAGCAAGTGTGTCTAACTTTGATATTCACCAGAGTAGCACTGGAAGTACTTGAATTCTTTCTGAATTCTCTATATTTTACAAGTTGTATTATAAAAATATTAAAGGGAATTTGAAAAGAAAAACATTTCCCCATGCTTTTTGCATAAAAAACTACACGTTGAAGTGGTAGAGGTGTTAGGGTTTGAATATTTTCACGTTCCATTTCTCACTTCCCATTGTGCCATATGCACTTCTTAGACATCTTCCTAACGATTGCTGTCATTGTCACCTTATATTTTCCTGAGTTATGATATACCATAATATCCACAACCATCCTGTTGTCATGATCATCTCTGTTGAAAAAGGCTTCTTTTTTTCCTTTTGTTAATTATTTCCTTAAAATGAATCCCCAAGAGTGGGGTGACTGGGTTAAGGCAAATGAACATTTTTATGGTTCTTGACTTTTATTGCCAAATTGCTTTCCAAAGGGGTTGTATCCATTTACAAGGACAAGGCGGTGCATTTTTTTCCAAGGTCAGTTTTTAAAGATACTTAAAAGAAATAAAATTCTATATGGAGCCAGAGGTCTTGATAATGTGTAAATCATGATCATAAGCCAAACAGTCCTTGGAGAACCAGCCAGCCCTGGGAGCCAAATGCTAAGCGTTCCAAGAACTCCAATACTGATGGTAATCAAAACGAGGCAGTCATTTCCACATTTTCTTAGTGGGGTTCATGTTCAGTTTTGGAAGAGTGAGGGAAAATGTAATTCATCAATTATTAAAGTAATTAAGTATTATTTATTCTTCATAATGAAGAATTACAAGTTCTAAAATTTCTGCTTCGGACATTGTCAAATGTCGAAAAAACTGGCTTTATTAACAGGAATATGAATAGCAGCAACCACCATTTATTGTGTGTCAGGCGCTGTGCTACATTCTTCATACATGTGATTTCACGATTTCATTTCTTCTAAAAATAACCTCGTAAGGTACCATGGCTGCTGGCATTTGTAGATGAGGAAAGCATGTTAGACCATAATCTCCTTGAGGGCAGGGATATTTGTGTGTTGCTCACTGATGTAGCCTGAGTACTTAGAGGAGCACACAGTAGGTGCTCAATGAACACTGTTGACTGACTGAGGCTCCAGGAATATAAATACGTTCTACAGGGTCACAGATAGACAGTGGGACTCAAAGTTGGGACACCTGACACAAAGTCCTGGTTCCTGACCCCTCTGCTATGGTGCCTCTTGCCTGGCACAGGCAGACGTGCCCAGTTCTGGCCACTCACCTGACTCCAGCTCCCGGTGAACCACTCCACCTTGCCCGTGCAGGGTCCATTGTCACATGGGGTGGCCTCTGCCGGCCGGTTGTTCCCACAGCCCTCCAGGGGTAGGCTGCTGACATGGTTGGTCATGCACACCACCGAGCGTGTCCGCACTCCAGCCCCACACTCCGCTGAGCACTGTGAGACAGGGGAAGGGCACGTTAGTGGGGAGGCCCTGGCAGCTGCTGAAGCTGCTTTCAAATGATGCAAAGGAGGATGGAATGCTTCATTTCCCGCCATCTGCTTCCCCTAGAAATATCTGACGGTGTCTCATGCATAGCCTGCCCCATCATGGGATGTCAGTAGGGTGACTCCTGCCTTAGATTTTCTGGGTTGGGCTTCATTCTAAATTCCAAATATCCGGTCTCACCACTGCAGTTAATTCACTTATACCTCTTAGGCTATCTTTCTCAGCTTTTGGTTTCAAAAATATAGTCAGGTTGGCTGAGTATGGTGGCTCATGCCTGTAATACCAGCAGCGCTTTGGGAGACTGAAGTGGGAGGATTGCTTGAGGCCAGAAATTTGAGGCTAGCCTGGGTAGCACAGCAAGACTGGCTCTACAAAAATGTTAAAAAAATTAGCGAGGAGTGGTGGTGTGCACCTGTAGTCCCAGGTACTCGAGAGGTAAGGCAGGAGGATCACTTGAACCCAAGGGTTTGAAGCTACAGTGAGCTATGATTGTACCCTGCACTCCAGCCTGGGCAACAGAGTGAGAAGACCCTGTCCGTAAAAATAAAAATAAAAAGAATTAAAAAAATATATTCAGCTGAAGCAGAATGGGTGCATGAAAACCTGGGCACATGAGACTGCGCCACTGCACACTCCAGCCTGGGTTACAGAGCAAGACACCATCTCAAAAATAAATAAATAAAAATAATAAAAGGTAAATAGAATTTCAGTTGTCTTCATGTTACCAACCCTTAAATCGTTTCTTTCCAGTTAATTTTCATCTGACTAGTTAACTTAATTTTCTGCTTTTAAAACCAAGTAATGTAGATGCATCTGGGAAAGTGTCTCCACATCCCCATGTGCTTAATTTAAAAGACGAATGTTAAGGACCATGCCGGTGCCCAATGGGAGGACATCACGCGGATGAGGCCTAAGAGGAGTTTCACTTTCTAACAACACCTGCAGTGAGAAGCCCAACAAGCGTAAATGTGAAAGGAGCTCACCACACAGGACCTGGCCCAGGAAGCCGGTCAGCAGAAGCAAGGGGAAGGAGAAGCCCCCTAGCAGGGAGCACGGACTAACCTTCCAAGTGAGGCTCCAAACCCCACCCACCCACAGTCCTTAAAGGATGTTCCTAAAAGGACCAAATCTGCTTTGCTAGTCAGAAAAGGACAAGACTCGTAATCGAACTTCTAGGCTGATAAAGCACAGAAACACACGGAATTCCTCAACAACCATATGGTGGGGACTGCCTTCTCACTCCAGCAACATTAAATCCTAACCTTGGCCCAATTGGCCCCTGAGGGACTCTAAGGCTCTAATAACTATTCTTGAACGTCAGCTTCAGGCATCATTTCTTGTCATTTAAATAACTCAGTATTTTTTTCCTGGAAAACTTTCTTAGAAATTAGGTGTTACCAAACTGAGGCTGGTGGACTTTCTAAAAGCGTTTTTTCCTATGGTGATTAAAAATGGCACATGTGCTTAAACCGATCATTGATTTGCAGAACCTAAAAGTCAGTGATGCTTACTTCTGATAAGGCCCACTCTCAATTAAAAGCAGCTGAAAGGTGTTGGTAAGGCCAGAAGAACTTTGTGTCCCTAGAAGTTTAAGAGATTCCCACTGGGGTTACAACCTCAATTCGTTTAGGGAAAGAATAGTTAATTTTAAATTGGGCCAATAAGACATACTCTGTGCCCTTCAGTGTTTGCAAACCTTAATTGTCTTTGGTCTCTCCCTCTTGAGCTTGTTGAATCGGAGGCTGTGTCTCATTCCTGACTGGCATGTAACAGGTGCTCAACACATGTTTATTCCCAGTAATAAAAAATTTCATAGCTCAGACTAAAGCTTAACAAAGCCGACTTTTACACAAAGCACTATTCACAGGTGGAAGACTGCCATCTGCTGGTCATTCTAGGGGCTGAACCTGCTCTAAGACCAACTGGTGGCCCAAAGGCCCCTGGTGACAAGGAGCAACAGGGCAAGACCTGTCTCTAAAAAGTAAAAATAGGCTGGTGTGGTGGCTCATGCCTGCCCTTTGGGAGGTTGAGGTGGGAGAATCATGAGGTCAGGAGTTCAAGACCAGCCTGGCCAACATGGTGAAACCCTGTCTCTGCTAAAAATACAAAAAATTATCTGGGTGTGGTGGCGGGTGCCTATAATCTCAGCTACACAGGAGGCTGAGGCGGCAGAATCACTTGAACCCAGGAGATGGAGGTTGCAGTGAGCCAAGATTGCACCACTGCACTCTTGTCTGAGGGGTAGTACGAGACTCCGTCTCAAAAAAATAAAAATAAATAAATACATAAAAATAAAAACTAAAAAATCCCAAACATTTAGAAAATAGGAGATTGTTTCAATTATGTAGTTCTATAATAGCTTATAATAAAAATAATGTTTTAAAGATTTTTGTGCTTATAATAATTATATGAAAAGAGCAGGTGACCAAATTATGCATACATTACGATTTATATCTGTAAAATATGTATGAGGAAAAAAGCTATGTAGGTAAAATATGTATGAGAATAGAACAGCTTGAAGTAGAGCTTAAAGCAATCTCAAATTTTCTTTCAGTGAAGAGATTTGGAGCATACTTTTCCTTTTCCAAATGTTTCATATTCTTAAAACAATACTGCATTACTTTATAACCAGAAAAAAATCAACAGTATTTGAAAAAGAATCTTTCCAATAAAAAAATGAAAGCCTAGCATCATTCTTTTCACCCATTTGCTGATACAGGAAATCCATCCAGTTTACTGTGAACGCAAATGAGTTTTGGGTTGGTTAGAAATTCAGAAACGGAATCACAAAAGGATAAGCTGAGGAAACCAGGGAGTTTTAGCCTGAAGAAAGTGGAACGGGTCCCCCAATGGCTGTAGGGCCATCCTTTTCTAAAGGACATGGGGACTTAGTAAGAAACATTTTGTTGGTTCATTGTAAAAGGAGACCTTTTGACACCTTGAGCTGTACAGAAAACAGATGTAATTGGACATACAATTTGTGATAAAGGGTTTGGACAAGAGCTGTGACCTATGTCAGGGACACCGCAGAGGATTCCTCATGCTGGCAAGGAGGCTGACATCAGAAACATCTTTCCCTACTGTTTCCACAGTGCCTCTAGCTAATGTTTGGGATGGGAGGCTTGGAAAATGGGGATACACAAGAAGAACTAGGATGAGCCCTCCTGGACTCAGCTTCATGGCAGAAGTCAGCGACCAGGTCAGCATTTACTCTCTGTCTGTTGCTGTTTGGTTAGAGTCTCCCAGATGGCCAAATTAGTGTCTGTCCTGGGCCTGAGGGCACAGTCAGATACTCATCTTGGGAGCTCAGTATTTGCACCAAGGGCTCTCTATCCGGGACCATCCCGGGGTTAAGGGGCAGGGTCTGTATGCCATGAGGTGTGGGGAACCCACAAGATGAGTCGCTAGGTAAGAATCTCCAGGACCATCTCAGGAGGTGGAGTGAAGGCTGCATTTGCAGGCTTGTCCTTCCTTTCTGTCTGGATAACACTCTCTATGGAAGTGGAGCGTTATGGTGATGAGAGGGACAAAATTCAGGGGCGTCTTACACCTCAGAGGGAGAGAAAACCTGTGTGAACACCTCTAGGGGTGATGTTCAAAATACTCAACGGCAGGTGCACAGGTCAGTGACCAGTCAAAATGAACAATGAACAGTTGGAGACAGCCAATGTGGCAGTATGGGGCATGTCTGCTGATGTCCCTAAACTGCATGAAAGGGTCCTTCTTTGAGTCTGAGATACTGTGATTGTTGTTCTCATGATGCTGGGGGGTGTAGACTGGGGTGGGGGCTCACAGGCTGCATCAGGTCCCCTAAGATCCATGAATTGGCTGGGGGCTCCTCTGTCTTCTTTATGGCCTTGTTACTCAGAGCGTGGTCCTTGGACCAGTGGCCTCAGGGACCTGGGAACCTATTAGAAATGTACACTGTGGTCAGGCGCGGTGGCTCATGCCTACAATTCCAGCATTTCAGGAGGCCGAGGTGGGCAGATCACATGAGCCCAGGAGTTCAAGACCAGCCTGGGCAACATGGTGAAACCACAAAAAAATACAAAAATTAGCCAGGGGTGGTGGCAAGGCAACTATAGTCCCACCTATGTGGGTGGGGGTGGGGAGGGGGCTGAGGTGGGAGGATCACTTGAGCCCAGGAGGAAGAAGCTGCAATAAGCTAAGATTGTCCCATTGTGCTTCAGCCCGGGCAACAGAATGAGACCCTGTATCAAAAAAAAAAAAAGAAAAAGAAAAAGAAAAAGAATAGCAATGTGGACTCCCTGGCTCCACCCCACACCTGCTGCGTCAGATCTGCACTTTAACGCAGTTCACGGGTAATGTGTAGGCACAGGATTCTAGCAAGGGAAGTGGGGCAGACCTAGTGTATCCCAGCGGTGGGCTGCTAACCAAGGTCAGAGATGACCAGTCAGGTCCTCATCCCAGGTAAACTCTCTAGATCTCCCGGAGAATCCAGAACCTGGACTTGGTACCTCTGACAGCTGTGCAGCTGCCCTGGGCAAACCCTCTGGCCTCCCTCATGCCCGCCGATCTGCCGCTGCCACTGGGAAAGGAAGCACAATTGCTTATCTCCTTCCTCCTCTCTTCTCCCTGTCCCTGGGTATGTTCTTCAATTTGTTTACAGTCTTTTCTCGAACTTTATTTCTGATTGTGGCAGAATACACATAACATAAAATTGACCATTGTAACCACTTTTAAACCCAAGCTCCGTGGCATTGGGTACACACATGCTGTCGTGTAACCACCCCTCCATCTCCAGAGTCCCTTTTTCGTATAAATCATCCTTTTGCCCTTGGTAGACGGATTTAATCTATGACTGCTTTCCCTCGTATCCAGGTAACTGGTGGACTAATGGTTAACTATATATGCCTTTGAGTCATTCTTTGACACCTGAGACTCCCCATGGGAGGTCAGGCTACTGGGGAGGGAAATGGGGTGTGGGATGTTTTGAGTTGGCAGGAAGCAGTAGACGGCCTGCCATTGCTGAGTACCTATGAGATGCCGGTACTCACGAGATATATGAAAGACGTGATGTAATTATTCACTTTACCTAGCATGACTGAGTGACCACATGGAGTGCTAAGGACAGTTCAATCAAGTTTTTCACCCACTCCTCGCCTCTGGAGCCCCTCAGTCCTCATGTAAGGATAGAAGCCTACAATAAATCCTCTCTGGGCTTCCCCACCTGCACACCAGAGCCAGAAATCAGCCTTGGGATTCTGAGCTTATGATTGATCTTCCCGTGGTTTCGAGGGCAGCTGGCAGACCTTGGTCCCCGGCGCTGTGCCCGCCATCACACTCACCCTTTCACTCCACTCAGTGAGGAACCAGCTCTTGGCACAAGGTCCCATGTCACAGTTCTCAATGTCATTCGGCCGGAGCTTCATGTTGCATTCCTCATCGGCAACCACGTCCCCAATGTTGCTCACACACTTCACGTCGCGGGTCCTCTGTCCCACTCCACAGGGCACCGAGCACTGAAACACACAGCACGCTGGTGTCAGGACAGCCAGCGGCTTCAGCTCTGGGAGAGAATCACCAGCATGGCGCCTGCAGCCTTTGTTACCAGCCCCATGAGACCACGATGAGGCCCTGTCATGCCTGTCACCACCTGGGGCAGGGACCTGAGCTCTAGAAAACTCTACAGCCCTTTTCTCCAAGACCTTCTTAGATGCCTCACCTACTGTAAACTAAAAATTAAATCCTCAGCTGGGCGTGGTCGCTCATGCCTGTAATCCAAGCACTTTGGAGGCCAAGGCGGGTGGATCACCTGAGGTCGGGAGTTCAAGACCAGCTTGGCCAACATGGTGAAACCCCATCTTTATATATATAAAAAAAATTAAATCCTAAGCCCTCCAGCTGACTGAACAGGCTTCCTCTCGGGCAAGGAGACCCCAGAGAAACTTTAAACATGGAGTTCCTGGCCACGAGAGGATGGGAGGATGGACACAGCCTGTCATACCACTGCCCTTCTGAAGTCTAGACACAACTAACCAGCATTACTGTTAAGGAGAGAAATCATAAGATTGACCAAATGGACTCTCTGTGGCAATAAGATACCAAATTATAAACAGGGCCCAATGCCATGGCAGGCAAGGATTAAGTCATGCACCTCTGCCCTTGAAGAATCAACCACGTTTTAAGTTGCCTGTGAAGAAGGTCTTACGATTTGTGGCTTATATCCTGTTCTGAATAAAGAACATTACTGTGAGTCCCTCAGATCTTATGAATTCTTCATACTGTTGACATACTGATTAATATGTAACCTGTGGACACTGAAGAGGACGATGGCTTGTTTCTGAGTCATAAAGTTTTGCTGATTTATTTCTGATTCATGTTACTGGCTTGCACTTAATACATTTAGCCTATATGTTGTCATCTGTAGCCAGTGATTATGACCTCTGTGCTGTACCCTCCAATGAAAAAGACAACTCCAATTCAAGGGGTCCCCTTCTCTTCTCCTAAATGTTCTTCTAAAAGCCTTTCAACTTGTCACAGGCTTTGGACCACGTCCAACGTCGGTGGTATGTCTTTTGGGGTTGGTTTTTACATTGGCTTCCAATAAATCTTTATGAAATTATTACTGCCTTAACAGCCTTAATTTTGGTTGACACCACTTTATCCTTCCAGGCCTCAGTCTTTTCATCTATGAAATGGGTGGGGAAGATTGGAAGGAGTTAGCTCTACCAGCAGTTGCCAACCTTCACTTCGCCATGATGCACAGAACAGATGAGGCTGGTATCACAGGACCCCCCTGGGCTCGCCCATAAAGTTGGCTGCGTGTGGCACACACTACCCTGAACTCGACTGAATTATCGGTCCATCCCATGGTTTGCGGAAACAGCTGTCCAGACCCCCACGGCATGTGTTCCCTCCTGTGGAACTCAGGGTTACCCATCTCAGGTCTTGGTGGGGGAGGCTGGAGAGTGGGGTGGGAGCTGGAAAGGGGGCTGGAGCGGGCTGCCGTGCTGCGTACCGAGGTCCAGTCGGTCCGGATCTGCCACTCACTGCAGATCTTGAGTTGGCAGGTGCTGGTGGTCTCGGGCTTCTCCAGGTGCTGGCAGCGGTAGGGCTGCACCGTCAGGCTGCGGTTGGCATACACCTGGCGGCACAGGACCTGGCGGTGCTGCATGCCCAGGCCACAGGTCTTGCTGCACTCAGACCACTCCCCGATGTCCCAGCTAGCTCAGGAATGAGAGAGCGAGAGAGACAACCTTCAGTCAACAAGAAGGGAGCATGAGCCTGCCCCAACTTACACAGAATCATCAGAATCACCACGGGTGGAGTCTCTTACTAGAGTGTTGTTTAAAAGTCAGCCTAGGCTGGGTGCAGTGGTACACGCCTGTAATCCCAGCACTTTGGGAGGCTGAGGTGGGAGGATGGCTTGAGCCCAGGAGTTCTAGAACAGCCTGGGCAACATGGCAAAACCCCATCTCTACAAAAAATACCAAAGTTGGCTGGGTGTGGTGGGCATGACTTTATTCTCAGCTACTTGGGTGGCTGAGGTGGAGGGATGGCTTTAGCCCAGAGATTAAGGCTGCAGTGAGCCATGATTGTGCCACTGCACTCCAGCCTGGGCAACAGAACAAGACCTTGTCTTGAAGGGGAAA